ACTACAACGAGCAAATGAAACTCCATGGCTTATCCCAACACTCGGTTTATATACTCCAAATATATGAAATTTCATGAGATGTAGAGGGTTTAAGCAAGTTTAAGTCATACGCCAACATTGAGGCATGCATCAGTATGTGCTTGTCTGTGCTTATATGCTTAGCTGTAGACGTATATGCACGGAGCCTGCAGTAATAGCACATAAGTACGAAGTACAGCTGAGTATACTAATATTTAAATAAATGTGGCAGTGAATGCTTTAGACTAAACGTTAGCTCAACCTCCTAAGATCATAATAGGTAAACTGTTGGACGAAGATTCCATCATTAGATTAAACAATCTTGACATGAATTAGATGAGATGAGATGAATGTTCAGGAGATGTCTGAAGATAGCAGAATAATAGAGGAGATGGAATGAGGTATTTGAGGCATGGGGAGAGGATACGATCGCAGATGAATGGATGAGGAGAGAATAGAAGAGTGCGATAAATGTAGAGAGATTGGAATAGAAAACATTAGATGATAGGAGTGAACATTGTTGGTGCTTGTGTAGCGAAAAGTGGTTTACCCAATAATTACCGGTTACGCAGTCCTACCTGAGTGTGTCTGCAAACCTCGGGAACTCCGTGATCTCGTAGATCACCAAATTCTGGTCTGAGCCTCCTGTCGTCATCTGTCTCCAGGCCTCCCCACCACGAAACTCGACACTCGGATCACCTCCATCTGGATGCGGATTAATAGTCTCGGCGGCAAAGTTGAGGTGCATCTGGCTAAGAGCCACGTACTGAGCAGTTTCACTGACCTGCAGGATGATGTTAGGATCCATTCTTTCCACCAACATGTAATTAGACTCCGGCTGTGGTAGTTCATGTGTGGACAGTGGAGCGAGTGCATATGTGCAGATGTGTGTATGTATGGGATGCGGAGAGATAAAATGAAGACGTTTGCGGCTGAAGCAGATTTTCTACTATGACGGAAAAAGAGAATGACCTCTATTAGACTATTTGAAGAGTTATACCCTTGAGGGTATTTAGGAAAACCGTGTTGACATTAATTTTTTCAATAATTATGATGCCGTTTCATCAGAACAAGGAAATTCCGGATAAAGGGGTTTAGAA